GGGGGGGGGGGGTTACAAGCAGTGGAAGACGAAGTGTCCCACTTTTTCTACAATGAGTGGGTTCTTTTCTACGGCTACACCAGGCTAGAAACAGGCCAGATCGTCGGTAAAAATCCCTTTTCTTGCCGAACAAACTAACCGCCAGCCCCGCCAGGTATGGCACCCAGGCGTGTACTAAACTGACACGAGCTCGACCTAGTATTAGCGACGAAATCTATAGCCATATAGCCATCGGGAGGTCTTAGACCATAAAGACCACGTTTTAAATCTTGCACACGCTAGCATGGGTTAAAAAGGAAAGACGTAAATCGTTGAAGAGGTTCGTCAGTCACGTAGAATTATATTCATCAATCAGTGACTCTTTTTTTCCGCAAGGAGGCGGGGGAGACCAGAAGATCCACACAAGTCTCGACCTAGTCTCGTGTTCTCGCGAGACTAGGCCACTCCGTGATCAAGATGTACAGTAGACATCGAAAATTTGGAGGGACGTGTTTTTACCTTTAAAAAGAGTCACTGATTGATGAATATACTACTAACTGAAAGACGTAAGCTAATTTTTCACCTCGTACAGGTACGTCTTGGCCACGACCAGGGTGCCGTTCAGAAATCCCTCGAAAAACAGCACGCCGACGGTCCACAGGAAGGAGAAACTTGGGGGGAAACATAGAACGATCCGTCAGAGAAAACGCAAAGATCGTAAAACATTGAACTTTATTCCAACACAAGGGTTACAGAGCGATCAAATTTTCGACGACCACTGTCGCCTTCATCAGGATAATTAATGACCAATCACTTCACAACGTGATCTCGCGAGAGTTACGGTTTACAAACACGTGACCTTATTCACACGAGACTTTACTGATACGTGACGTAAACAATTGATCAAAAGTGCCAGGAAGTTTATATTGTCCACCATCTCTATTAAGTGAAGGCTGAAGTGCTCTGATATATATAGCCTCCTTAATGCCTCTTAAAAAGTAGTCCTGTTCAGTGTCCATGAAGGAGACAGTGGTCGTCGAAAATTTGATCGCTCTGTAACCCTTTTGTTGGAAAAAGGTTCAATGTTTTACTATGATTACTACCAACACAGATGAACTTTCATGATAAAACTCAAAGATAGTTTCTGCAAAATTCGATGCATACTATTTGAAAGTTATAACATAATCCAGGACCTGACAAAGGACGAGAAACGATAACTGATGATGATGCTCTAAGTTGTTTGCTAGCTGTGTGAAAGTGCAGATAAGTATCGTCACACATTTAGAACCTTCCCCCAGAACACCAGCCGACCCAGGTTGGCTGAAGTTCGCGAGCGGTCTGACCAGATTTAGGCCACGCTAATACATTCCTATACTACTCGAATCTAATTTTAGTTAAATTTGAGTCAAATTTGACTGCCAAACACACCCCGACATACTCCCGAACACCAGCCGACCCCCAGCCAAGCATGGCTGAACCTCCCGTGCGTCCACACCCGAATGTTTTTTAAACATTTGGCTGGCGCAGCCGAACAGTAGCCGACCTGGTTGAACACCAGCCAACCTTGCTCCCGACGTACGTGTACCCCTAACCATGGTTGGGAGGAATTCGGCTACTATTCGGGAGGCCTAATTCGGCTATGAGTGACGGGGGCTTCAAACGTCTCACCTGAAGCCCACTAGCAGCGTGCCCACAAGTAGCGCTGTGGCTGAACTCAGCAGTATGGGTCTGCATCCATGGACAGAAAACAAAACATTCTCATACATTATCAGGTCGTCTTAACTATTGCACCATAGTGTATCATATCATTTTACATCATTATGATATCATATCATATCATATTATGGCTCCCAATGTTGAGTCGTTCCGGGCCGGACTGGCGGCCTGCCCGCCTTAGCCTTGACCTCCCCCCCCCCCTAACGGCACCCCTCGCGGGGTTATCTGGGGGTAACGAAGATGATGATGATGATATCATGACTCAGGAAATATGTTTCATACACTTTTCATACGTCTGTTGAAACACACATGGTGATCTACAATGTAATAAATCATATTCTGTATAGAGATGAAACAATATTATCCCTACCTTCTGCCAACAATGTCAGACAGTTTCCCCCACTGAAAAAAACAACACACAACATGTTTTATTTAATATTCCATGTCTGCAACTGATAATAATTTGAAATATGAAAATCACACAGAAATGGATAAGACAAGTACATGTAGTGTAGTGTGGTGTGGTGTAGTGTAGTGTAGTGTAGTGTAGTGTGGTGTAGTGCAGTGTAGTGTAGTGTGGTGTATTGTATTGTAGTGTAGTGTGGTGTAGGTGTAGTGTAGTGTGGTGTAGTGTAGTGTGGTGTAGTGTAGTGTGGTGTAGTGTAGTGTGGTGTAGTGTAGTGTGGTGTAGTGTAGTGTAGTGTGGTGTAGTGTAGTGTAGTGTAGTGTAGTGTGGTGTATTGTAGTGTAGTGTAGTGTGGTGTAGTGTAGTGTGGTGTAGTGTAGTGTGGTGTAGTGTAGTGTAGTGTGGTGTAGTGTAGTGTAGTGTAGTGTAGTGTGGTGTAGTGTAGTGTAGTGTAGTGTAGCAAGAAATGCCTACCATAAAACAGCCGAGAAACATGCCAGCATAGGTCGCACTTGTCAGGAACCCGGCGTAATAACCTAGCCCAGAGAGAGATTCACACAAAGATCATAAAGATGTTTAAATAAATTGTTCACTATACACGTATATGGTAAGTGCCTAATGCTGTTGAGTGTCTATCCGATTGTTCAACTGATTTCAATACATTTGATCCTATAAGGAAATTCAAGACTTAGTGCATTTTAAGAGAAGATAATCCATACATTGTGCACATAGGGAAATACATTAGAAAATATTTTATTCCTAGAGATTGCAGGTTAGAGAAAAGTTGAACATCTAATGTTGCCACTGGCATATATTCTGTACGTAGTTTGCCGTTATACATTCTGTAAATAGGATGAATTTATCCATGCATGTATTTACCTTTGTTTCAATTATATGTCATGAAATTTAACTCATATGTCATGAAATTATACTAAAATATTGTTAATGAAATAGAGTGTTTATTGTATATAAAATCAAACTTTTACGGTATGTGGATAGAGCAGTATACTTGATATCTACGAGTAGCAACCTACCTAGTACCAAATATCATGAAGATGCATGCACCATAACCCAAGTTATAACCGATTAAAAAATCGCCAACAACATAACACATACTATCATGAAAGTTCATCTGTGTTGGTAGTTACATGTTTAAAGTTAAAACTTTTGTTCCAACACAAAAAATTCTCTCACCTAGAGCTTTCGACCAGTCACTCTGGTCTTCCTCAGTAGACTGACCCAATGAAGCTTGTCACGTGGCTCCTTTGAAGTGTGACGTCAACACTGGTTCAAAGGTATCTGGTAGACGATGTCGGCCCCCGTCGCGGTTCAATGTAGGATGATGGGCCCTGATGTATATGGTACCTTCACCCCTCTCAAGAAATAGTCTTGTTCAGTGTCTAAAATCCTTACAGTGAACCGCGACGGGGGTCGACATCGTCTACCAGATACCTTTGACCCAGTGTTGACGTCACACTTCAAAGGAGCCACGTGACAGCTTCACTGGGTCAGTCTACTGAGGAAGACCAGAGTGGCTGGTCGAAAGCTCTAGTTGAGAGAATTTTTTTGTGTTGGAACAAAAGTTTTAACTTTAAACATGTAACTACCAACACAGATGAACTTTCATGATAACATAACACATAACCTTCTCGACGAATGTAATTATGTAGCAAAATGTGAAATGTACCTATCTGGTTACTCTTCAGGTAAGGGAAGAAGTCGTGTGTGAGGAACGGGAGAAACGGTAGCCTGGTGCTTCCAGAGATGGACCCTATCGACAGGAGCACCCCTAAAACTGTCACCTGAAACCAAGACCACATCATCGCTGTAGATGATTATTGTACATATGAATTAAATCCATAGCTTGAAGTATCGTAAGAATATACTTTGATTACGGGTGAATTTTTACAAAAGGAATATTTGAAGTACATAGAGAGTAATACATAACTAGACACAAGAAATAGAAAAAAGCTACCGTAACTCCTAAATCTACTAGGACGTTCTTGTGTTTTTTTTTACTTTAGCGCCCATAGTGAGGCATTCTGTAATTTGCTTGTGTTTTTCTATGTTTTGTATGTAATGATGATCTTTTTGCCACATAATGATTGTACACATCAGTGTTATTCAGCTTGTTGTTCATGTACATGCTGCGAGGCTGATTTTCTGTCAGCTCTATCAGCACAATAACTGACCACTGTCATGTCGTATTTTAGTCAATTTTATGTCATATTTCAGTCAATTCTTTTGTGGAGGGGAAATTTTCCTGTCCAAAATGATGCCAAAAATTAAACCAATCACCTATACTTTGGACAGAAAAAAACCTTCCTATTGTCGAGAAAACATCGCATCAAAGGTCAAAGGGCGCATCGCGTTCAAAGCAGTGTCAATGCACATGATCCTATCAATCAAATACATGACTCAGACACTACATGATTCCAATATACTAGTGCCTTAGACAATTACTAGTAATTGTAATGGGTGAGAGACTAAACCTAAAACTAAACCTTAGTAAACCTAACCCCAATCGTAAGTCTAACCCTAGCCCTGAACAATGATCCCAACTCTAACCCTAACCCTAACTCTAATACCAACCCTAACCCTAAGGCCACACCATCTTAATTTTATGAATGACATCCACAGCTTCATATTACTAATAATTAGATATGGCCGTTTAGAACACCTGTGTAAAGAAAAACACGTGTTCGTTCAAACTGGTGCTTTGCTACGACGGGAAAGCTCAGGGATGTCATTTTTGTACAACTTTCAAGGTACTTTTTCAAGTTATTGTTGGCAGAATGTCTCTCTAAACTACATGGTAGATACATGGGAAGTTTTTGCAGTACGTTTATTGCCATTCTCGTGGTGTTGGGAGGAGAACATGCGGATTTCCTGACCTGGAGAATTTTGGGGAAGACAACAAAGTGGCGAGATAGCCAGGTTGCGCGGTTTGGAGATGACTTCGCTTTTTCGTACAGGTAAGCAACAAACTATTTGACTGACGTTATTCCCTAGCATAGCGAGTATGAACATGTCAAATTCAACAATTTGTAAAATTTTTGTTTTGTTAAAATTGTGTATTTCTGTAACATTTGAGCGGCCATTCCTGGGTTGAGACCGGCTTTGAAAGAGTCAATTTTGCCGCGTTTTCTTCCGTTCATGGTGTACGTTAATTGGATGTGTACATTGCAGCTTTTCTCTATTCTTCTTGCTGATTGGCTGTTGGACGTAATTGAGTTAACTCCATGAACAGCTGCACAACCCATGCCATATTAAAAGTAGGTACTGCATTGAAGTGTTTTGGTCTAGGTATGTCAAACTTTCCTGCTCAAGCATTGGAATGCAGGGCATAAACGCTTTTTTTTTATCTCGAAAATCAACAGTTTAAATTATACAAATAAAAATCCTAATCAATAATGTAGGGATAGCTATCCAACTGTTATATTCTTTGTTATTTGTCACTCATAGTAATAGTTATTAGTTCAGCCCAGGTCATCCTCTTTATACTAAAAGTTATATCAATATGTAAAACATTGTTTTCCCCTGTATTCTCGATCTTTCCCTGCCGTGTCGTAAAATGTGTGGTGTAGCCATGCTGAATTTGGTCCAAAGGAAATGTCGGCCTTTCTTGTTGTCTTTTGTTTTTCTCGGCGTGGTTCAAAGCACCAGTTGGAATATGCACGTGTGCATAATTAAATCCCTCTGATGTTCCCTCCCAAACCTCGCGTTAAGGCTGCAAACTCAAAAGGTTCAAATCGTCGAATTTGGTATGGAGGTAACGTGGTCAAATACCCTCAGGCTTTTAAATTGGTTTTATTTGAGTTTTTACCACATATGGTATGCATGACCATAGTTGGCACAAATGGTATGCATTACCATATTTGGCACACATGACCTACTTACTCATCAGTAGTTTCTTCTTGCTGATTGGCTGTTGGGATAATGTGATCAAACTTAGGATACTCAAAACAGATACAGGATTGTATGGAAAGGTACATCGAATTTCAACGTGGTTTATGGGCTGGGTATTTAAACCCTAAGCACCTGAATTCTCACGTATGTGGCAGCTCAAGGATTTGGCTCAACAACGGAAGCAAACCCGGAAGTAACTTAAGACTCTAGGTAACATCATTTTTTACGCATTTCGGCCATGCCTGGTATTTTCTGCCATTTGTGAGATATGTAAAATCAAGCCTAGACCCTCAAAACCCTTTCAACACTTTTGTTTTTCCCCGACTGTGCCCTGTCGCGGTGTATAGCTAGTATAACGCGGTTGGGGCGGGTACTCTTCGGGACTGCAGGAGCTCTTCCCCGCCCGACTCAGTTAGGTTCCTCGGTAGGTTTTGCACGATTGGAGTTCATTCAACTCCTGGCGCGCAAAACTCCTACAGGCGTAACACTCCTACCGGGCGGTCTGTTTAGCTGGACGGGGGAAAACTGTCAGAGCCTCGAGGACAGCCTGCCCCAACCACGATAGACTGGGTATGATTGAGGCCGCGAAGAATTGGGGTTGTTGTTCCGCAGTTTGTGACAAAGGTCCGTGACCTGTTACGGTCACCGACAACGTAAACAATCGGGATTCCAAAATGGTAGAGTATTATACGCCAAAATGTAGTTACTCAAACAACTGGATATGATTTTGAAAACGTCAGACGTTTCAGCTAGTATCCACTAGCTTTCGTCAGTGACTAGCAGATACTAGCTGAAACGTCTGACGTTTTCAAAATCATATCCAGTTGCTTGAGTAACTGCTTTTTGGCGTATCGTATTACCTGGATGTCTAACCTTCATCGACGGTAGAGTATTATGCTTGCAACACCAAGAATCGACGACGAGCAGATAGAATTAGAATCTTAGAAGATCAGCACGTTATTTTTTCTTAGCTGTGTAGACTTCGGAATTGAACAGCTGTAGTGACTGTATCATTGTTGACGACGTGTAGAACACTTTTTGTTAGTATGGTGTTGAGGGGAAATTAAGCCAGGCAATGTATAGCTGTATGGTAACAAGAATTTGAAGCCTAATTGTACATGTCCATACTGTGTCGAATACACGTATGTGTGTGACATAAAAACGATTCAAAGTCGGTCTACCTTACTACAACCACCAACCTGATTATACATACCTGTTTGACCGGAAATTCGCGCCACAGTGTCCTGATATTACCGACCATGTTACAAAGTTAGATATATACACACAGGTGACCACAGGTATGGATCTTCGTCGACAAAGAACACCTTTCGTCCTGCAAAGATCAGTTTGACAGCGCGCTGTCGTCTTTCCTCTACTGAATATGTCGACCTCTGACAGGTCAAGTTCTCACTATGGTACGCTCATTGTCGCTGATCATGACGTCACGTACACAGTGTCGTCCAACGACCCTGAATGTAACAAAACGTATGATTGGACCACAGCCAGCCGTTCAAGTGGTTGGATATTTGTTAGAGAGACATGGAGAATCATAGAGAAGCTTGGGCACTCGTGGAGAATTCAAGTTTAAA